GGAATGCAAAAGTACGGAGCCCCTAAAGGGACATGGTGGTGGAAAAAAATCAGATTGAGTGAAAAAATTTGGGGTGGGAGGAAAAAATATTTGTCAGATTTTTTGCGTTCTCTCGCAAAACTTTTGCGTTCCCTCGAGAAACTTTGCGTTCCCTCGCAAAACATTTGCGTTCTCTCGCAAAACCAGTTGAGTTCGGACAAACACTTCCTGTTTACTTTACAGATTGTAGTGGTTCATACAGCTCCATACGTTCACAGTGGAGCAGTTCATAGAGTTTTGTTTTGAACTTGGACGAAATAGTCAGTGCATGCTTATCAAGGCACGGTCTTGGGACATTCTAAAAGGCTTAACGTAAACCACTGGATGACTAAATTCAGTACATACATTATTAATAAAGCATACAGACAAGCAGAATAGCCCAGAATATGAACGTAACATGGTAAATTGAATTGCACTTTAAGAGTATTCCTCATAGAAAGAAAATGCTTAATTAATGGACTAAGATAGTGGTATAAAAAGGCCAAATTCGGTATACAGTTTATTAATAAATTATACATGAAAGCAGGTAAGAACAGAAGCGTTTTCCTCCCATAAAGAAAACGCGGCTTAATGAAGACGGTGATAAAAAAAAAAAAGTCCAAATATGCTATAGAACTTATTAAAAATATATTCTGTGTACATGCAAGCAGATGAGCCCATATGAGCTGAATTGCATTATAAGCGTCTTCTTCCCCATAGGCTTAATACAAGAAAACTTTAAAAAAATTAAAAATTTTATATTTTATTATAAATATACTACAGGCAATCAACGCAGTAATCCATTAAGCCAGTGGTTCTCAAATCTTTTACAATGGCGTACCCCTAGAGCATTTAGCCTAACATTCTTCTGAGTACCCCCACTTAGACCGCAGTTACACCTTAATAATCTTTTATATGATTGAATCTTCAAACTTCTAGCACTTCGAATTATGCCCTATTGTAAGTGACGGCGTATTTTATGTTTCAGCGATTTGAACGCGCCGGCGCCTCATGCGCACATATTCACTGCAAACGGACTGTTCATTATTAAAATAAAACATAGAATCACCAATACAGATAAAGTTACACAGCCAATTTAAATAATCTGTATTATAGTCTTTGCCGTACAGCGTGAGCCCCGGTCCACTCCAGTGCGGCACATTTTTGTTCATTATGATTTTTTTCCCTTCGATATTGGAACGTACAAAGCCCAGTTAATTTAATAAATAATGGTTTAGCTTCAAATACATTGCGAATATGGAAACATTTGGATTTGTGCTGAATGAGAGCGGTACGTGAGCCCATACTTCAGTTTCGCTTTAAATTATGTTTTGGCTTCTTTATAGCTATTCTGGGCTTGTCTGCTTTCCTGTGCATAATATGCTATATTTTATTAATAAACTGTGTACCATATTTTGGTTTTAGCCTGTAACGTCTTCGTCCATTAGCCTCCCTTAAGCGTTTTCTATAGCCTAACGGTTTTAAATGGGGGAGGAACGTTGCATTATGGCTACCTGCTTTACTGATAGTAATGCTATTAATGAGGTCATTAATATTACAGTTGTTATTAGTATTAATAATATTTATTAGGCCTACCAATTGGGCCTCCAGTGTCACTGTTATAGTAGCCTACATTAAGCCACATTAAGTGTTTTAGAATGTCCCAAAACCGTGCCTTAAACTATAAGCAAAGCTGGCTGTATTTGAAGTTGAGTCCAAGTTTAAAATAAAACTCTATGAACCGCTCCATTATGTTAAGTTTCTCGAGGGAACGCAAAAGTTTTGCGAGAGAACGCAAAAAAGATTTCCTCCCACCCCGAATTTTTTTCCCCACCACCATGTCCCTTTAGGGGCTCCGTAGTTTGATGCTTTACACAACAATGACTTTAAATTATCTATCGGGAGTAATTTCTCAGCCAAATTTGATGTGCGATTAATTTGCGATTAATTAGATTAATTAATCGCCACATCATGTAATTAATTAGTTTAAAAAATGTTATCGCTTACCAGCCCTAATATACTGTATATACAATATACTGTATATACATCCCCACCCCCCTCCAGCCGGTCTGTGAGAATATTTTCAAAACGTAACCAGTCTATGCTGTAAAAAATGTTGGAGACCCCTGGCATAGCTCATACCTGTCTCAGTGCCATATATATTATTTTTCCAAAGTTTGCATGCCTGTAACTGAAGAAATATTAAAGATGCCTCAATATGATTTTATATTCTAGTTCTTAATAAACTTTTATTTTTTAACAAAATCTTCATTTTCAAGGCCCCATATGGTTCAGTCCCAGAGATATGGGGATCTCAATGCGGCTTCATGTCCAAATGGTTGAAAATTTATAATTTTTCAGTGGTCAAAACCCAAATGATGGTCACTTTGTATACAGCTGATACTTACTGTATTTACAGAGAAATGCATGAAAAAATAATGAATATTGAAACTACATTTGTAACTTTTTTCCCTCTATCAACAGACAATACATTTCAGAGTGCTAAAAATACACTTAAATGATCAAGTTGAGGCACATTAACATGCTCTACATAGCCAATTGACAAGATTCTATATTTGAAATCTTATCAGTGTCAGGAATATATATATATATAAAAAGGATTTTGTTCATTTTAACAGCTCCTGAAGCTAACAAGAGTTCAAATATGCAGTATTTAAACTACATGTTTGAAACAAATACCACGCCTCATAGGGAAGTGTGGTTGCTCTCCTCACACATTATATTCACATCAATAAACCAAAATTCATCTCACCTGGATTAAGTATTAGATTTTCTTTATCTTTTCTTTCTTTTTTTTTTTAAATATTGTTATAACATGTAAAGCATAGTCATAGATCAATTAGTAACTACTTCTAAGGGGCATATTTGGCAGAATCACTGATATATTCCTAAACGCTGGATTACTGTTCTTATTTGCATACTTGCAGTGGCAACAGTCATAACTAGACAAACACCAATTCACATTGGTTCACATTGAAAATGGGTAGGATTCAACCATTTGGACATGGAGCCTGATATCTTTGAACAATATAGTGCCTTAAAAATTAAGATTTCAAAAGAAAAGTTTATTAACCACAATTTTGCTCGAGGGCCTTCTTCGGACGATGGCACTCTGTACGCGGAGTTTAAAAGGATATTATTTAATACCTCTTGAGTTACAGTCATGCAAACTTCCGAAAAGGGACTTTTTGGCACTCCAAGAGACATATTCTATGCAACTGTCTTGATAGAGGGAAACACGATATTTTTTGTTCTTCAGACATTGTTCAATAAGTATCAGCTGTATGCAAAGTGACCACATTTGGTTTTCATCCATTAAAAAGGTAAAATTCAACAAATTGGGACATTGATTTGCATTGGGCTCCCTATATCTCTGGGACTGAACCTTATAGGAAGGTTTATTAAGAACCAGAATTTAAAATTATATTGATATATCTTTATTATTTCTTGAGTTACAAGCTAAATTTTTCCATTCTTTGGAAAAAAAATATTTATGACATGCACAGGTCTGTTCTATGCAATTGTTTTGATAGAGGGAAACAAGATACATTTCTAGTTTCAAAATAATTTCAGACATTTCTCTTTAAAAGAAAAAAAAGAGTATCAGCTGAATGCAAAGTGACCCACATTTTGTTTTTGATCACTGAAAATGTGTACAAATTTGATAATTTGAGATTCCAATATTGCTGGAATGTGACCATTAAAAATGAAGTTACCAAAAGAAAAGTTGGTTAAAACCCAAAATCTAAAAGGGCTTTAAGATATCTGTAATATGTTTGAGTTACAGGCCTGCAAATTTTGGAGAAAAAAAATTGATGAATTGAATTTTTTTGCATTTTTGAACTGTCACTATAGCATATAATGCAACAAAGATTTCTAAAGTCAACAGATTTTGACCTACCAGTCCTATATTAAAATCATATAATGATGCTGCCATCTTTCTAACGTCATTTTGACCCCCCTGTAAAGTGGCTCCAAATCTCTGGTAAAAATCGTCACTTTTACCACCCCTTTATAAAATAGTGGATTACTTAGTAAATATACATCCATGACATTTCATATTTTGGCCTTCACCTTTCTTCAGAAAAAAAAAAGTGGCAACTTTAACAAGCTATAAAAATGATCTGTGGGGATGATCTTTTTTTCAATATATATATATATATATATATATATATATATATATATACACACACACATTATTATTTGTTATTTATTAATTTAGTGATTTGTCACATAACAGGCCCAATAAAGATTTTTTCTTCCGGCTGGCGAGACCAGTTCAGATTTTTACCTTCTCTGCCACAAAAATATTTAAATTTTATTTTAGAAATATATTTTATATGTCATAAAGTATATTTAATAAGTAGTTTACAAAAACTAATGTATTATTAGAATTTATAATTAAAATTAGAATTATTATAATTTTCAACCCATTCAGCAGTATTTCAAGACTAATCATTCTCTGACCATAAAATAACACAGTTCATGATTTAAACTGATTTGTAAGAATACTTATCTAATAAAAAGTGACTTGGGTAAATCAATTCAATTTAAAATTTTCAATCACAGGATGCTTTTTTTTTCCTGAACACGTATTGAATATTCTTAGAATTATTCAAAATTACTATGTGAAATCACACACGCACACGCACACACACACACACACACACAAATCAAAAAATGACATGAAATGCCCCTACAACTAGATGGTCAGTAAATGATGACAGGATTTTCAATTCCGAGTGAAATATCTCTAGTGTACCATAAAAAATGCACAGACGAGCAAACATGAATTAATATGCCTGAGGTAGCACGTATTACTTTGATGATGATGATGATTATTATTATTATTATTTTGCATAAATCATCGAGTGTTAACCATGTCACACTGGTGCATTAGAGTTTTTTTTTCTTCTTTTTTAACAGTGTTATTTTGCAAGGCATGAACGAGCTGCTCTTACTCGGCGTATCCCGTCGCCCACGGCAACCTGCGAGTCTCTTTTAGGATCAGGATAGGTCTCGCGATGTGATCCGCCGAGCACTCTATCTCATCTGCCGACAGTCCCAGAAACTTGGGTCTCATGTAGCGGTATTTAAGCGGCAGGTCCGAGCCACCCGAGCGTTCATTATTATTATTAGACGATCCGGCCGTGATTCCACCCATGAAGCTGGCCACGGCGGATTTGACGCGAGTGAGGCATGTCTGCGGAGCGCCGCGCCACGTCCGTGCGTCTCCTTCTGCCCGATGTACCCCCCAGCTCGATCCACGGCGTTGCGACACGTTAAAAAATGAATCGTACTCGCCTCACAGCTCCTCCATTGAATGTCTGAACCAACGCGGAAATAGTCCAACGATTAAAGCTCATGTGATCTCATGGATCTGTTTTCTGAGCGGCTTATACGATGACAGCTTAAGTGGGTCTTGCGCAGGAATTGATGATGAATACAATTATTCCTCGCATCAGGTTTAGCAATTTACAAAAGCGTGTTCTCATAAACTGGTTTATTGTTAACTCTATAAATATAGTCATCCAGTAAAGGTAAGATGAATAGTTTGGCTGCATCAGTTCTCTCAGTTACACGTGCATGATCAACCCTATATGACGTCACAAACACAACGCCTCCAGGCATGTTTTGGTTTGTTTGTTTTTACTTTTTTAGGATAACATGATATACATGGTTGCACAAAATATAACAAAACGTGCGTTACTCCATATAATAAATTATAGAATGAATGAATGAACGAATGAATAAATGAATGCAGGTGTGAACTGGCCAGAATGTTTGCAACCTTTGGAATATGGTGTAGGAAGAACTTGAGGCCTAGCGTGAATTAAATTACATGAAATATGAAATATGTGTATGAGCACATTAACTGTCAGGCCAGTTTATGGTAACAGGATGCCTGTAATTATGGGGTGAGTTTGCCTGTTTGTTTGCTCATGTTATACACACACACACACACACACACACACACACACACACACACACGTATGAACATATATCATACAAAAATATCTGTGGCAAGAGCTCTTTTTAGTCCACGGTGTTCTTTTCCTCAAAATTAATCTTTTGTTTTTTTTCAATTTTGCTATAACAGTATGAAAAAACAACAGACACACTGCACTTGTGTTTTTTTCTCCTAATTTAATAAACAATATCCCAGTTTTTCCATCTAGTTGGCATGAAATGAAAATTCACCCTATTTATTTTCTGCATAGAATGATTCTGCATCTTATTAAGAAGAATTCATCTGTACATGTATTTTAATTGATTGATTGACCTCTGTCCTGACATTTTATCCTACTACCCGTCAGATTTTCCTACCAGGGTTTACTGCGTATGCGCACATCAATATTGCGTAATTTTTTCTCATGCTAAACAACAATATTTAATGTATCTGCATTACTGTAAGGGTAGGTTTAGGGTTGGGGTAGGTGTAGATGTTAATAAAACACAATCGAATAGGTAGAAAAAAATTATTTATTGTTGGTTTCCGGTAGCTGTATCCCTTCTATCCACAACCGCGAATATAACACATAATTACTATATTTGCATTACTGTAAGGGTAGGTTTAGGGTTGTGGCAGGTGTAGACATTGATAAACCATAATTTGACAGGCAGCATTTTTCGTTGTCGAATTGTACTACCTATTGTTTTAATGGAAGGTAGCAAAATCTGACAGGGTAGCAGAAATCGACAGAACATATAATGTTCAAACTGGAAACAACAGACTTTGGTGACGTATGCAGGACTTCAAACCTAATCTGCCTCCACTTTCCAGTACAATGCTTACATCTCAAAATCCAATCAACAACTGAAGCATGGAACAAAGTCCACGTCCTTTTTTTTTCTTTGACAATCTATTACACTCGAATGTACATCACAATACATAAGAAAAGATCTGCACTACTTTTGTTTCATTGTGACTTTAAACAATTTTATTGGCAGTTGCTGCTTATCACAGTTTAACAGAAGGTACTCCCATAATTTATGCCCTAAAAATCACATGGTGTGTAGGAAAGAGTATAGACCGTGCGTTGGAAAACGTAAGTTGTCAAAGAAACAGCTTTGTTACATATTTGTGGTTTTTGTCTGTCTCTGTGGCTCTTTCAGCTACTCCCATTAGAGGTCGCTACAGCAGAATTATCCACACAGCCATTTGGCACAGGTTTTACAGATGCCCTTCCTGCACTGCACTCCCAGCACTGAGTGCACTAATTTGCTTATTGTATATTAATACAATAAATTAAAGCAATAAGCCACAAGAAGCCGTGGTTTACAGTGAATTTATAACAGCTAAGGGGCGTTGTTAGGCACGACACGAAGCGGAGTACCCTCAGACAACTGTTATGATTAGATAAATGTTACCTGCAGGTGATTTGAGTATTTTTCCATAATCCACAAAAGTTTAATTTCCTTGTAACAGCTATGTGAATAATAAGGCCGACACCGTAAATTAATGAAGAAAAATTACCATTTTCATAGAATTTTAACTTTAAAATAAATCTATAAAATAATTGTATATAAAATATCTAGGTTTACTGGTAACGACCCTGACTCACAATACAGTGGGACACTGTAGGTCATAGTTTTGGGTAGTGGGCCCAGCAGTTATGAATTAAGAATGTCATTTTGTCCTGTGGTACCTTAAGTGGTAACCCACCTTGGAAAACCACAGATCTAGTGGTTGACATGAGCTTAATAATAAAAATAAAAAAATAAAAAAACAACAACAAAGGAATACGAAAGAGGTATGTAGTTGAAGTAGTGATACGTTTTTTTTGGGGTACTTGCACATGTTGGGGTGTTAGGGAAAGAGGTGGATGATAGCCAAAAATAACTTGATAAATTAGAAGCGGATGTTAATTGCCAATGGGGAAAATGGAAGTAAAAGCTATAATTACAAATGAATTAATGAACGGTGGAAAAGATGGTACAGTGGTGAAACAGGCATGGTTTATAAAAAGTCTCAAAAGTACTTACTTATAAAGAATGCTAGATAGATGTGGTGGTAAAACCCAATAAAATAAAAAAAAAAAAAGAAACAAAATGGATAATTTTTAAAATTTTGATTTTATTTCACTTTCAAGACAAATAAACACAAATTGGGAGGGGGCACATAAGTAAAAAAAAGAGCTGTGAATGTATCCTAAGTAAATGTTGCTCACTGAGAAAGTGGTGCTGACGGTGTCTACTGCAAAAACATGTTCCACAAATTAAAAAGTGCTGTTTCTTAAATATTTACTGTAAGTGCCTTTCACTCTTGATTATTCCAGAAGAACAAACAGTATTTAGACAATGCAGAAACTAGTGGTCCCTAGGCAAATATTGTGTCCTGGAGGCTGTTTTCTGCATTCAAGCCATATGACTTCAGAGGTCCTCATGTTTTTCGGGTGAGTCACCAGTTTGGGAACCTTCAGAATCAAAGGCAGCCACTTCCTTATTCTCTTCTGATGAAACACACACACACACACACACAAAGACAAAATTGCAAAAGTATGAATTTCTGTGTAAAACAATGGGGAGTTAAGAATTTATTTATAGGGTGGAAATCTGTCCTCTTACTATAACTTGTATAATTTGTTGATATAACGAGTATAAATGTTGGTTGTCCTCTGAAAACCTCAATGGTGGTACAACCCAATCAGGGGCGTAGCCACCATTTCAGAAGTGAGGGGGACAGAAATGTTTATATATATATATATATATGTGATGATAAAGACATTTATAATGTTACAAAATATTTACATTTCATATAGCCTAAATGCGGTTCTTCTGAACTTTCTATTCATCAGAGAAACCTGAAAAAATTCTACTCCGCTGTTTTCAACATAATAATAATAATAAATGTTTTTTGAGCAA